GCCCGCTGTTCCCCTCAGCAGTGTACTTCCTTAATCTGCCTGTTCCGCTCCCCACTCTGTCTCTGGTGAATCCTCTCACCGCCCCTGCACCTCTGACCTGTACCCCAGTTCTGTATGTATAAATAAATAAATCTTTAAAAAAAAAAAAAAAGACAGAAGGAGATTATGTCCTCCTAATCTGTGCAGGTCCTTACAGATTATTTGTACGTTATCTTTTTCAAAAGCAACATCCTATCAGTCTTGAGAGATTAACTCAGTCCCACCCATGAGTTAATCTTTTGTCAAAATAATATTTATGATGGCACATTTTTTCCTTCCCATCACTGTAATAGAGTGGGCAATTATCACCAGAAATGTGCTAAAAAAAAAAAACCAAAAGTGTATCTGATCATTTGAGAGATCCTGTTCTTCTCGCCATTTTATTCTTTCGGTGGTCCCCCCTCTGAAAGCCACATGTAAACATGCATCTGCCACAGCCTACCCTACAAAGTGACTTTTTTATCCTTATTTTACAATTAGAGATGAGGCTTTGAATGGTAGGGTAACTTTTTCTAGGTAGATTGGGCTATCAATATAGGTCATGAATTTGAACCTAAATCACCTGTTTCCAAAGTTCGTATTTGTTTTCATTAAGCCACTATTTTGAAATGTAGATAATATTGTTATTCAGATAGATGACTGGTATTGAAAGAATAGTTTGTTGCAGTTCTCAAGAAAAGGTTGTGTTGCATCTCTTCAGGATCCCCAGGAAGCACCAGGCCACCCACAGCTACTGTCTGATACTGGGTCCTGGAGTAATTATAGTCTGAAAACTATGGTCCATGCAGGAGGTGGGTGGGGGCCTGGTTCTGGATTGGTTGATTTGCATTTGAAAGATGTGCTGGCAGGGGAATTGGGCCCCTAACTATCTTTAGGAATTGTCTAGTCTAGGTAGGCATAGTCTGTCTAGGATCATAATGTTACAGTGCACGGAGAGAGGGCACCACTGAACCGGTTCTAAATAGGTTCTGCCCACTCTACATTGGTTCTGCCATCTGCCACATTAAGACAAAACATATACAACCTTTAATGGAAAGGAACTTGAATGCAACTAATGTGTAATACAGAACAAACAAAGAATATAGTTTCTAAATCAAACATCCAGAGTTACCTGTCCCCTCATTGGTAAAAGTCCACCCAAAAGGGATTGGCCCAAAGCAAGGCCTGAAAGCCCAACCTAAGTCTAAAGCACCTTCTAGTGGGGACCCATAGAAAAGGGTCAGAAATGGCCAGACAAATCTGGGAGGAAAGGAGTGAAATCAAAATCAAGACAAATGCTACCATAGTCACCCTCCCCATGGGTATCTCACCCACATCTGTTTCAACCAGCCCAGGGCCAAGAAACAAACATAGTTTCTTCACATGTCTCTCTGTTCCATGTGTCTCCCTCAGATCACCATCTGGCTCTCCATCCTTTTTCCTTCCTCCTCAGAATCCTCTCCAAATTCTTCTCTTCTCTGCTCAGTTCCACCCTCCTTGTGGGTAGGGCAGGGAACCTGGAACCTCCCCTTTTCCTGGGTCCACCCTGTTACAATAAGACCCCATATATCAAAGCATGAGAAATACAGAAAGTAAGGAAACCTGATTAATATGTTGCATGTCTTTTTTGACCCCAAACTCAAAATCAGCATTGATTTTCCTATTCTTTCTGATTTTCTTATATTCTCTAAGTAATCAATATCTAAGTTTGTTTCATTGTCTTCAGAATTTATCTCATTTATCCCTTCAGGATGCCAGGCACGGTTGTAGGCACTTTTGATTTAAAAGACCTCAACATGTGAAGGAAGAGACCTATAAATTAATGATTGAGAAAGAACTTGACAATGTGATACTAGAGCAAAGCCAAGAACACATCTAATCCCATGTCAGCTTCTGGACCTTATTTACATTTCCTGCTTTCCATGCATATCATTTTCCTGTCCTGAATGTACTACCAGCCTAACTTTCCTTAACTTGGCATCATTTTGTTTCCCAAATCAAAATAATTCTTTGTAGACTCAACAATTACATCTCTTCTCACCCTCCTTATTCGTTCTTACTTTCCCCATTTTATTTATTTTCTAATTTAACATATGGTAGTTGCCCTATCTGGGATAGGGCAAATAGTGTCAACTAGTGTCCTGAAAAACAGACACACAAAGTGTCTGCTTCAAGTGTGTAAAGTGTGGTGTCTCAAGAAGCACATGATATTATATAGTATCTGGTGTGCTTCCATCATGGTTCATATATTACACATTTACTAAACAAATGAGCATGATATACCTTCCAGGCATGGGGCTAGGCTAATATCCTTACTATTCCAGACCATGTATGTCTAGCCATCCTCAGCTCTGCATGCACCGTGCTCTCTGTTTTGGGCATGCTTTGCTTCTGACCCTCCATTCTTCCAAACTCAGCCTATTCTCAGCTGAAATTTCACTTGCCCCAACTATATAATAATTGCCAAATGACTCACCTCTTATTTCATGCTATTCTGAATTAAAGGCACTGTATGTATTTTGTGTTTTTCACTGTAGACTTAGAGTGCTTATGAACAGTGTCTGATGATTATGCATTCAGCAAACACTGAGTAATTGTAGCCAGCTACACCCCAGATATTAGGGCTATGCTTTATCTTAAATGTTCATTTTCATGTCTTCTTTGACCTCTAAAAGAACATCCCATATAAGTTAGCATCAAATTAAGCAATTCTTTAAATTATCCATTACTGTTCCTGCTGAGTTTGTCATGAAACTCATACTTTGTTGTAGTTTAAGGTTTAGACTATTCCTTATCAAGGCAATTCAAAACTAAACTGTTAGGATGTAAAAATACTGCATGTTTTTTTTTTATTTTGAAATAAACAATTGTTTTGGTATTATTTTGAAATATTTCTGTAGAACTGTTCAAGTGGAATTCAACAATTTGTACCTGGAAATTTACTAGACAGTATGGCATAGTATTTAAGAACAAGGGCTTAATGTACAGAGAAACCTCAGTTTGAAAACCTGTCACTTATTCCTCTAACACCTTGGTCTAATTACTTAATTTCTCTTAGTCTCAGTTTTTTCCTCTCCTCCACAGTGGAGAATACTGTCTTCTTCATAGCAATGTTTAATGAAGAAACGCAATAATGTGTCTAGATGCTTACTTTAGTATGATATATAGTAAGTGAGTAAATAAATGTCACATGATATTTATACTGTTGTCATAAATGTACACACTCTCTTGTTTTAGTGGGATGGGGGTGGGATCCCCCTTTGGTAAGTCTCCACCAACTGCAGGATAGGACTCAAATGCAGACAAAAGTGGTGAAGAAAAGTAAAAAGGTCTGTTTACATAGAAAATCTGAGTGAGAGATAAAAAGTGAACAAAGGCCCTCCCTGGTGGCGCAGCGGGTTAAAGCACAGCACTGAGAATCTAAAGCCGCTTCCGCATGAGTTCGATTCCCACCTGTCCCGGAGGTGTC